TTTGTGCAACCACACAGCTCCCAATTATGCCAGCTCAACTCAGACCCCAGGGGTCATTGCCTGAGGATAAACTGGGACCAAAACCCATGACAAATGGCTACACAGTCACTGGACCCCAACCCCGGAAGAGACAGGTGATGAAATGGAGAAACCAGACTCGGAGACATGAGGCAGGCACATTTGGATTTGAACTTTGATCCTGAATCCTTAAGAAAGTCTATGATCTCAGTTTCTTCATCTATAAGACAGGGATAATTAAACTAACTCTGATGGGATGCTGGGAGAGCCGCATGAGACCCAACTGCTCTGGAGCAGGTCCCTAACTCTCTTCCTGGCTTCTGGCCCTAAGGAGAGGCCCAATAAATAGGTGTTGGTTGACTGAATGAGTGAGCAAATGTCATTCAAAGTAGAGGCTTCAGGAAAAGCACGTGACATGCAGCTTTGCAACAAATGATGCAGTCACCCACAAACAGGGCAACTCTCCCATAGCTGAAGTCAACATCTTGATGAGCAAGAGGCTTGAGGGGCGTTCCTGCTGCACCATCGTGCCTGTCACTTTAAATACTAGAGACAGGCACAAATGCCTTTATTGATCCAGAAGGTTTTAATGGCTCCCTGTGATCATTTCTAAGTGAATTTCACTTCTGCCAGTGAAAGCCTTGCCATGAGGAAGGCAATTACAGATGCTGTTTCCTAAGTGGCTCCCCCAGGCTGACCTGTGCACAGGAGGCTAGGACCCTCCCGCCTTCCACGGGGCGGCACTATGACAAGGGTCATGGGACGGCCATGCGGGGGACACAGCAGGGACCCTCGGGGTTGCACCAGATTTTCTTGAGAGCGAGAGGACACCTTAAGGCCGTCATAAAATAGAAAGTGCTGTGATCCTTTGCCAGTGACCCTCGCTGGGAAGGCCAGGATACTTGTTTTCTGATAGATCAGGGGCTCACCAAAGATGTGTGGCAGGAGGCTTGCTAGGAAGACAGCTGGTTCCTGGAAGCACAGGTGTCTAGAAAGCCCAACACCTAGCTATTAGCTATTAGAGAGCAGGTGCCCGCAGGACAGAGGAGAACTAACCCCCATGGCGGCTCATTGCTGCTGCCCAAAGGGCCAGTGCATAGCTAAGTTCTGGGATCCTGGGTCCAAATTCACCTGAAGCTTGAAAGAGTGGCCATGTTCAACTCGTTTCCCCTCCATCCCTGCAAACTCCCACTGCCCCAAGGGCCTTCTGGATTCTATGGCTAAAAACAGATGAGTGACATTCAGATGGGAGCGGTCTCTGTCAAGGGAAGCTGATTTCAGGTGTGTTTTGGGGTGAAAGGGAGTATCCTGGCACGCTCGCTGGCCTGAGCTCGTGCTCAAGCTGACCTTGAGCAAGGCATTTGGCCTCGTTTCCTTGTCTGTAAATGGGGAATAATTTCTCCTCCTTCCAGGGCAGTGCTGGAGAGGAACGGAGACAATGCATGTCAGGCACCGAGTACTGGGCTCCCAGTGGCAATCCCCTTCTCCCTACTGGGCGAAGTGCCCTTCTTGGTGGGGAGTGGAAGTATCTTGAAGCACTGGCTGACTCCTGCATCCCTGCCCCGGGAACCCAAGGGCAACCTTGGCAAACAGCGAGAGGTCATTTAGCACCATTACTCCCGGTAGGCTGAGACCCCCATCCCTCAAGCTTAGCCCAGGGGGATTTTTCTCTCCCAAGAGGCTCCCAGAGAAAGGAGGGGCCCTGCAGCCTGCAGTTGCTCCTGAGTGCTGTCCCAGACAAGTAAGGGTGGGAAATCGCAAGGGGCGCCGGGAGCTTGACACTCTTCCAGCTGGGGGGCCACAGTTCCACCTCTGTAGCCAGGCACGAGCCGCGAGCCACGGTGAAAACCCCACGGAGCGACCTCACAAACAGCCAGATTTGTTCTGATGCGTGGAGGTTTCGTTTCTGAATTTCTGCCTCTGCCACTTTCTCTGCGAAACCACTTTCTCAGCAGAGACAATGTTTGGGGCCCCCCATCCGTCCTCATTGTCTCATCTCCAGGCTAAATATATCCCAGCTTGTTGAAAACCAGCATCCACATAAGAACCAGATGGTGGCGAGATTTAGGAGGGTGGGGGCGATCTGGCGTTCTCACATTGCAGGGGGTGGGGGCTGGCTGTCTTCCACAGGCCAGGCTGTACTCATAGACTGGGCGTCTCATGCTGCCCCTTACTAACCGGGGGAGTTGCTCTAGAAGGTGCCTGGTGCCAGGAAACTGTTGAACGGCTTGAGGGATTGAGCACTGTCTGAGGAGTCAGGAGGCTGGGACTTGACTCTGCTCTGCTGCTACTCACAGCCACACTCAGGGAAGCCCCTCACCCCCACCACCAAACAGATTTCCCATCCAGAACGCAGGAGGGAGGAGGTGGGCTCTAGGAATTGTTCCATCATTGAGGCTCATAAGAGCAAACAACTGGAAATGACCCCAGGGCACCCTCCCTAAACCAGGACCTATCCCTGCAGTGGGACCCGTGGTAGGTCCTGATGGGGAAGGAGCACCAAAAGGTTGCTAAGTAAAACCACAAAATAAAACCCAAAACCCACAAAAACAAACACACCAACCAAAAGAACAAAAGCAAACACAGAGTACCCCCGACATGCATGGAGCAAGCTCCCATTTGTGTGAAGAAGAAGAACAAATGGAGTGAGCGTTGACGGGAGATGCAGAGACTCTCGCTGGTACCATGGGTTGCTGCCCATGCCAACAGGCAGAGAGACTCTCCCTGCATCCTCTTTCATATCTTTTGAATTTTGAACCATAGAAATGTCTTATTCTTAAAACTTTTAAACGACATTAAAAAATAGATCCTGTGAGACTTTCAGGAAGGTTGTCAGACAAGACTAGAAAACGTGCCAAGAGTGATGAAGCCTTCCAGGGGTAGGGTGGACGAACGCATCATGGACTTTGTCAGCCAAAATTGCCAGAGATGCAGGAGCAGCAACAGATTTCAGGGAGTGGAGGCTGGGCCCTCAAGTCTGGGGCAAAGGGAAACCTAATTTGTCTTGTTAATAAGAGGAGACCTGTATTCCCCCAGGGGCAGCTGGCTCCTGATGTCACAAGGTGATCCATTAGCACAAGGCTTTGAAAGGTCACAGTGGTGGCCTTGCCCAGAAGTGCCCCCTCCCCTGGTCAGTATGGAGCCCAGGGGGCTCTGGGAGGAAACCTTGTTCGTTCCACCTCCAGGACCACCTGCCAGGGTACCCTGGTGCACTTTATCTGAAAAGTCCTGCAGTCCCTGGCTTTTTTGTAAGGGAAAACACCGATTGCAGAAACATCCACTTTCTCCCCTGGGGAAATATCCTAGATGCGGAGTGGGCAGCCCTGGATTCAAACCCATCACAAGGGCTGCACAATCCTGACCAGCCATTCATCCTTCCTAAGCCCAGGTTTTCCCATCCGGAAAGTGCTTCTATAACCTGCTCCTGGGCTGGAGGGGAGTTAAGTGAGACAATGCCTGGGAGAGGAGCACAGTGCATGCCTGGCATTGGCTGAATTTTGCAGACCTGCATACAGCAAATCTCATGGAACACAGCAGGAACGCCCTTGATGCTGAGTCTGGGCCTGCTTATTCTACTTAAATAATTAGAACCATAGTCATGGGAGATGTTGAGTAGGTCATGCCTCCCCCCGCATGTTCCAATGATGAGGTAGTGCACATCCAGGCATTGTGATGCTAAGGGACCTCGACCACTCTATGACAGACCCCTGGTACTGTCCCACACTGCACTGAAATTCACTCATGATAGTCGATTTCAGTAAGTCCGTGATTTCCTTAAACTGGAGTAAAATTCAAATGAGATATCATCCATCTCTCTTGCAAACTAAATAAATCATCGTTCTCTGGCTAAACTATCAGATAGTCCCTGATTTCTCTTTTGCCAAGCCCAGCCCCATTTCAGATGGCTGAGATTTTCTGTATTTAATTGAAAGACTGTCTCTAGAGCCAGGAGCAAGTCTGTGGTCATGGGCTGAAGGAAACCCTTTGAGGATGTTGTTATAAGGTTTCATTCCCTGTGCTGTGTTGAGGAGAGTGGGGTGGGGGAATAAGAGCTAATGTCATTATTTAAATGATCCCATAGTCCATAGGGTAAGCCTGTGGACAATGGCTGCCCAGCGCACCTGGCCCCATGACCTACTGCCGCCCCTCTTTCTCTTTTGAGAGTCTCTGGAACTGGCTCAGGAGGCAGCAGCCCCTGCCCAGCACTGGGGTGAGACTGAGGATTCCCTGTAGATACATGGATTCTCCACCCTCAATGGGGCTATGCAACTACCTTAAGTCTGATGCCCTCAAGGCCGGGTCTAAACCAATACCTTGTCAACAAGCCTGAGTCATGAGCAAGCAGCCCTGCTGAGGCCACTGGTTTCATCTCCTTTCTCAGGGAGAGAAAGTGCCTGCTCCACCTCTAGGTATCATTGGTTGGTTCATTTGCCTTGGCAAAAGCAGCCCAGAGTCCCAGCACCTAACGGGGTATGTCATTCCTGTGGGTCATTCCAACCAGGAGAACAAAATGACGGATCCCTCACAGTCAGAGGTTGAAAGTGCCTGGGGCGGAGGAGCACGGCAGTGAATGCGACTCCGTACTGCAGTTAGGAGTACCTGCAGTTCCTCTCACTGCTCACTTTCTGCTGAAGTTGGCAAATAGTCAATGAAAAACAGCCCAGGCCTTGAGTGTGACTTGTTAACAAATGTGACTTTGCTGGACTAATAACAAGTCTAACCTCTTCTCCTTTTAAAGTTCATCAACAAAACATGCACAAACAGGAAGGTATTATCCTTTGTCTTGGGGGAAAATGGCACCTGCCTTTAGAAATTACAGAACCCCGGTGGCAACAGTGTGGGATATTTGTCCAAACCCTTACGCAATACTGTCTGAGGTCCAAGGATGGCCTTTGGTCCTTTTACACAGACTCAGGCTACAAATGGAAGCCCCATGTCCCAGGAAACCTGCAGGAATTGTACAGACTGGAAGGTCCTTTTACCTTGAAAGTTGTTGCAGATTCAGGATTGGCAAGAACCAGAGGTGAAATGAGTACCATGCCGGCGAAGTGGCCCGGCCTTTCTGCGGCCGTGAGGATGGCGATGGCACCTCCCTGTAATGCAGAACGGGCAGAGCTGCTGTGTTCGGCTTGCAACAGCGCACACAATTCTAATAAACATGACCAATGCCATAATTCTAATAAACATGACCAATGCAGTCCTCTTAAGCTGCAGTCCTGGCCAAGAGCCCTGAGGAGGACTACCTTGGAAGAGGCACCATCAAATGTTGGATAAACTAGATCTGCAATTATTTTATTACACATGTTTTTTTCTCTGGGTTTTCCAAGAGCAAACATTTCAGAGAGTTATAAATAAGGTTCCTGCCTGTGGGCCGCAAGTTGAACAATAACACATTCCCACTTCATTTCAAGCCCAAAGCTGGCGGAACCCCAATTCATCATCCCGACAGGCTTAATAGGAGGGTTGTTTTCTTTCTTTTTTTTTTTTTGGTGGGGGGTAATGTGATCATAATAATAGATTGCTATACTATACTTTTTCCTGGTTTAGTAAAGGTCCTAGAAATTTAAATTCCAAGAAAAATGGGAGTGAATGTGGATGGTGCTGGAGAGAGGCCTCACCTGTTTGCTAAAGCACAAAGGTGCTTAAAAGCAAGGGTTGCAACTGCAAATGCTCACAGGGGCCGGGCAGGCAAGAGAAACTTAAGGACAGAGCCAGGCAGTGACCAAGGGGCGAGAGGCAATGCCTACCCTAGTGAAATGTCCCCAGGGATATAAATTCAAGCAGTTCGATACCTCTTGGTCAGCCAACCAGCCTACTTTTTCTGTAGGTAGATTTGACCTGGAGGCTGCCAGTTTAAGGGCCCCGATTTAAGATTACATTTGCTCCATTACATTTTAAGACGATATTTGCTCGATTTACGTATTTAAAAGGTGGAAGGAGTTGGAATAAGCTTTAAGGAATTTTTTCCAAGGGGACCCTTTGTCCCTAGTTATCATTCAATTCTGAAAAAAGCACACAAGGTTTGGGGACATTTCGTGTGCTTCTTATTGAGGAAGGAGCTATTCCCCCCTCCAAGAAGTGGCTCTTAGTAGCCTCACTATGAAATGGCACCAAGTGGGCCAAAGAGCGTTGAGAAAAAGATCAGTTTTCCAAAAGGCCACATACTCAAGCTGCTCAGTCAGGACCGGCTGGCAGCCTCCCTTGTTTCCTAAGCACGGAATCGCCCAGGAACTCCAAGTGCAGTGCACAAAGGGAGACATCATGCCAGCAGGCAGAGAGCGGGGGGAGGGGCGGGGAGTCAGGGCCACCCCCTTCCCCCTGCAAGGCTGGAAGCCAGGGTGGATGTGATGTGGGTCTTCTGTGGTCTGCTTACCATGGAGTGGCCCAGAAGGAAGACAGGAAGCCCAGGGTAGTCTTTCTGCATGGAATCCACATGCTGCAACACATCTCTGACAAAAACATGGAAGTCAGACACTACCATCCTCTCCCCTTCGCTCTGTCCGTGGCCAACTGGAAAGGAATGGGAGATGAGAGAGAGCTGCAGTTACCAGGTTGACTCCTGCCCAAGCCCAGAGGTGTCCTCACTGCAGTCACCCGCCTCTCTCTCCTGAGCGCCTGAACGTGTCACCTCATTTTAACTATTTCCGGCCACTCTTGAATGTTGGAATTCTTCTCTCCCACTTTTTATGGATTATGAAACTGAGGCACAGAGTGGTTGAGGAACGTGCCCAAGATCACACCACTAGGAAGCGACGAGCCAGGGTGTAAATACTACAAAGCCTCCCTTGGGGTTGGTTTCCAAGGAAGGGAAAAAGGATAGGTGCACAGAGAGCCTCAGCATGCCCAGTTTTCTGCAAAGTGGCCAGGAGTAAGACGAAGATGGCTCAGAATTTTCCTGCGTTTTCCCTGTTCCTTGCCCCTGGCAGCTGTGCCTGAATATTGGCCTTTCACCAGGTACAGTGGTACACTTAGCCCCTCATCTTACAGCTTTATGTGAAGATAACATGACGAACATAAAATAATATGCAGTCATTGGGTGTGCTTGCCAGAAAGCTCTCGACGAAGCTGCAGTGAAACTAGGTCACACTCTCTCCCTCTTGGGTTTAATCTGTCACCTATTTGTGCTGTTCACCCCCTTGTTCTTTCCTCAGGGCCCTCCACTTTCTCCCTCTTTGAAGGACATCAGTCGCTATAGAAACAACTCACTGGCTGTGGCTTCACATTCAGGCTGAAAGCAGCTGTGATGGTTTGAAAATTGCAAAAAAGAAAGCGCTTCTGGAGAACTGGGACCACACAGCCAGAGGGGCTGCCCAGACTTTCCCTGCTGAGAGCCTGAAGCACTCATTAAGCCTCTGCCACCTCTGGGGAGGCTGCTGCACTAATAACGGCCACCACCTGGAACTGACAGGCTGCCCAGACCTCCAGCTTGGAGACCCTCCTGCTGTCAGGCCCCGAGCTCCCGTGTTTCCCACTGGCCTGTCCTCCGCACCCACCTTCCCAGCCACCATCCCATGGTCTCTTTGACCATCCCGCTGGGCCCGAGGGTCCCACTACCCTCTCGGCAACATTCCCCTTTTCCTTGCCCTTCTGAGTAGTTTTCTCTTTTAAAATTTATTTTTACTTTTTACTGTGCTATCATATCCATAACATAAATTTTGCTGTTTGAACCATTTTTAAATGTACAGTTCAGTGGCATCAAGGACATTATTGTGCAACTCTGTACTTTTTCACCTTCCCATGCTGAGACTCCACACCAATTGATATGGGTTGACTTGTGTCCCCCAAATCCATATGTTGAAGCTCTAACCCCCAAGATCTTGGAATGGGACCTTATTTGAAGACAGGGTCTTAAAAAACGTGATTAAGTTAAACGAGGTCCTTAGGGTGGGCCCTAATCCAAATGACTGGTGTCCTGTAAGGAGAGGGGATTACAACCCAGATAGAGGGAAGATTATGTGAGGATGCAGGGAGACGGCAGCCATCTACAACACAAGGAGAGCGTGCAGGAGAAACCAACCCTGCTGGTGCCCTGATCTTGGACTTCCAGCCTCTGGAACTGTGAGACAATAAATGTCTGTTGTCGAGGCCCCAGTCTGGGGTCCTTCATTATGGAAGCCCTGGCAAACTCATACTAGCTATTAAACCCCAACTCCCATTTTCTTCTTACTCTCTCTTCCCCTACACCCCTGGCACCCTCTATTACACTTTCTGCTTCTATAAATTTAACTGCTCTAGGGACTTCATTTGAGGGGAATCAGGTCATATTTGTCCTTTTTGTGTCTGGCTTATTTCACATAGCATGGTATTTTCAAGGTGCATCCATGTAGTCATGTATGTCAGAATTTCCTTCCTTTATAAAGCTGCATCATATTCCATTCTGTGGATGGACCATGTTGCGTTTATACATTTATCTGTCGACGGACATTTGGGCTGTTCCCACCTTTTGGTTATTGCAAATGATGCTGCCGTGAACATGGGTGTGCAAATCTCTCTTCAGGTCCCAGTTTTCAATTCTTTGGGGTAATACCCAGAAGCGGTGTTGCTAGGTCAGATGGTGATTCTGTGTTGAATTTTTGAGGCATGATCCCCCATATCCATGTGGAACATCTCTCTGCACACAGCCCCTACTCCTCCGCAGGGGCTGCTGCTCTCACTCTAAAGCCTGAGGCCTGGCTGCACACAAACGCTGAGCCAAGGCAACACCAGGGCTGCCCAGTGACAGGCTCCCTCTTCCCACAGGCTTGGTCTCCAAACAAGTTCATCTGGGCATCTCTTCCGTATGTTTCTATGCTCCCAAAACTTGCAATGCTACCTAATAATCCTGGGGACATAGTATCACTCATCTTTTTTGAAAACAAGGGGACAGTCCAAAACGGCCCTCTATATTGGAAGCATCCCCCTTTCTGATTCCAACCACTCCCAGCCCAGCCTGCTCCCCGTGTCAGCTACATCCCTGTCCTCCCTCCTTCATCCACAGCCCGCAAGCCGCCCTCTTCCCTCCCTCTTCCCTCCCTCTTCCCCTCCCACTTAAGGGGTGATTCACACTCATGGCCCTTTCCCCACCTACATTCTCTCTCCAGCCCTAGAGGCTCCATGCAACCCTCAGCTGAGTCCACCCCAGTGGGCCTTTACCCCATCCTCTTCTGAGCTCTTGGCTCACTCAGCACCACATGCTCCTGCTGACCTTGTCATGGGGTGCGCCTGGAAATGGACTTCCTTGGCTCTCCTCCTTCTCATCTGGCTGTGTTGTCTTTGTCTGTTTTCCACCCTGGCTAATTTCTGTACTCATTCATTCATTCATTCATTCATTCATTTTTAATTTAAAAATTGCATCTTAAAAGACACTCGATTCACATGGTACAAAATCAAAGTGATATGAAAGGTGTACACTGACGGTCCCTTTCCCACCTCCTCCCATCCACCCAATTCCCCATCTTCCCCTAAACTCTTCTCTTAGTGTCTCAGCCTCTTTATAAGCAAATGCAAATACGAATACAATTCCTGATTTTTACCCCAGTCCTAAACACAAAGAAACACAAAACAGATCCTGCTCTGTGTGGGGCTTTGTTCACTCGACACTATATCCTGATCTTCCAACGTTTGAAATAGGGCTTCTCCCCAGCTTCTTACTACAAAACTTTCAAATGAACAAAAACACTGAAAGAATACGTTATCATTTTATTTGCTGTATATATACACATTTATGAATATAAAAATGGCTGAATCTTGTAAAAGTAAGTTGCAGGCTGGGCAAGGTGGCTCATGTTTATAGTCCCAGTGCTTTGGGAGGCCAGGGTGGAAAGATCGCTTGAGCCCAAGAGTTCAAGACCCACCTGGGCAATATAATGAGAGATCCTGTTGCTAAAAAAGAATTTAAAACATTAACTGGGCATCGGTGGCATGGTGGTGCACACCTGTAATCCTATCTACTTGGGATCACTCGAACCTGTGAGGTTGGGGCTGCAGTGAGCTATGTTCGCACCACTGCACTCCAGCCTGGACAAAAGGGAGACCCTATCTCAAAAAAAAAAAGGAAAAACAGATAGTGAAAGAAAGAGAAGACAGAAAGAAAGAAAAAGAAAGAAAGAGAGAGGGAAAGAAAAGGAAGGAAGGGAGGGAGGGAGGAAGGAAGGAAAAGAAAGCAAGAAAGAAAGGAGGGAGGGAGGGAGGGAGGAAGGAAGGAAGGAAAAGAAAGCGAGAAAGAAAGGAGGGAGGGAGGGAGGGAGGAAGGAAGGAAGGAAAAGAAAGCGAGAAAGAAAGGAGGGAGGGAGGGAGGAAGGAAGGAAAAGAAAGCAAGAAAGAAAGGAGGGAGGGAGGAAGGAAGGAAAAGAAAGCAAGAAAGAAAGGAGGGAGGGAGGGAGGAAGGAAGGAAGGAAGGAAGGAAGCAAGCAAGGAAGGAAGAAACAACGGACAAATCTGGGTAAAGGATCTACAGGGGTTCTCTATACTATTCTTGCAAACTTTCTTTGAAGTTGAAGGTACTTCCAAATAAAAAAGTGTTATAAAGATAATCCATAAGTACTATAACATTTCACCGTAAACACTTCAGCATGCTTAGTGACATTCTCTTCATAACTATAATACCATTTTCCTGCCTAAGTAAATTAGCAGTAACTCTCTAATATCATCTAATATACAATCTAAATTCGAATTTCCCAGTTGTCTGCAAGTATTTTACAGCTGGTGTTTTAGAACCAGGATGCAAAATTCATATGCTGTATTTGTTTGCTATGTTTCTTTAGTCTTAGAGAGGCCAGGCTAGTAAATGCCCCACATCCTGTATCTGACTGTTTCCCCTCATGGTGTCATTTGGCTTGTTCCTGTGTTCCCATTCATTATCAAGAACTTCCCCTCTTCCTCAACACAAATGTACCAGGCTCACCTTATACTTTCCTTGTCCCAGACTTGGAATTAACCATTTCTCCAGGGAGCTCCAGTTCCTTTCAGTGTTTAAAAATCAAGATTTAAAGTTGGGAGTGTCCAATGCAATCGAGGTGCCCTTGCTTTCATGCCCTTCATTAGGCAGAGCTGGAAAACTTAATTCTTTTTTTTTTTTTTTTTACGTGAGACTTAAGAAAACTTAATTCTTAAAAAGCATGTGTCCATATAGATATTTTCAACTATAAATCAATGTTCTGGCTAGGCGCAGTGGCTCATGCCTGTAATTCCAGCACTTTGGGAGGCCAAGATGGGCAGATCTCTTGGGCCCAGGAGTTCGAGACCAGCCTGGACAACTTGGCAAAACCCCATCTCTACAAAAAATACAAAAAATTAGCCTAGCATGGTAGTGCACACCTGTAGTCCCAGATACTCAGGAAGTTGAGGTGAGAGAATCGTTTGAGCCCAGGAGGTCACGGCGGCAGTGAGCCATGATCGTGCCACTGGGCTCCAGCCTGGGCAACAGAGCAAGGCTGTCAAACAAACAAAGAAGCAAACAAACAAACAAAGAAGGAGAAATCAATGTTTTAAAGTTTTCTCTTACCTTCTATGATTTTGTATTTTATCTATTT